CTCAAGGTGAGTGACAGCACAGGTCTCACTACTTTCAGTAACTGAGAGTTTGAATCTTGGCACCAGGGTTCAGAATACGGCTCTCACTAGGGAAGAATGTGCAGAGAATGAAAGTGTGAATGTTGATTATAAAGTATTTGTTTGCCTGTAACACTGATACTGAAACTTCCATATAGAACTGCAGCCTGTCCTCTGTCAACTAAAGTGAAGGATCCATAGTTGGGGCTGTACCCTGGAGGTATGTAGAAGATTTGTTAGGTTATTGAAATCAGGGGTTTCATTATCAAGCACTGAAAAACATAAGAAACCCCTCTTTCATGGTCAGAACCCAGAATTAACTACATTTAGATATAAGATAAAGACCATTGTGTATCACAGACACAACACATACTGATACCTAGCTTGGCAGGGTACTATTGTGGCTTCACTATTAAAGTCTGAAACCTCAGTAAAGAATTCGTGCTGGTCTTCTGCTAGAGGTTTAGATTCTGCTAGCCCTTCCAACACTATTTGTTTTTCATGATAATTTAGGTTTCCCTTCCATTTCTTGCTTACATTTGTTAAGACTAGGTAGATCACCTTTTCAGCATGAATCTCATTTCCAACTTCTGCAAATCCTCTATGGCTCATCTGCCACATTTGACTCATCTGCCCTAACCTGCTCTCTGGCTATATCTTTCTCAGACCAAGCCCGTCTTTTTTCTTCTTTCTCCAATACAACAATGAATTCTACCCAGATTAAACATCATTGACCAGGTAGTTCATTTGTTGCTTACAAACACTAGTAAAGTGCTAGTCAAACTGAGCTCCCAGCTGGAAGCTGTGTGTCTGTGCACAGAGTAAGGCAGAAAGGAGTCACTGCAGCTAGTGGACAAACTTGAGGTGCACACAGAGTTAACATGCTGACAGAAACACTGAGGTTTACATCTGAAAACCCAAATATAAAAATAATATGATGAGTAAGACTAAAATTCCCTGTTCTGAGCTTCCATGGGGCCAGCTCCCCTCCTCCCCCATGCTTCAGGGCTCAGCAGTCACTTCTCCTTTTCTGCTGTGCCTTGCAGAAATGTCTCCTGGGATGAGTCAGAGGAGGACTTCCAGGCAATAGTGTTACTGCCTTTGGCACCCACCAAACAATGGGCAAAAATGCATACTGCTGTGGCCTCACAGCTCCTTTCACACACTTAGAGGGCTCTCTCTCTGATTTACTTCTTGCCCCTTGATACTGTTTTTTTCTTCTCAACCAGGGGATCATAGAAAACATTAGGTTGGAAAGGACATCTGGGAGGTCAGTTTGTCCAGTCTCCTGCTCAAAGCTTCACAAATAGATCAGGTTGCTCAAGGTCAAGGCCAGCTGAACTCTCCAAGAGATACCACAGAAACCTTGGACATCTCTTCCAATGCCTAACCAACTTAACTGGGAAGAACTTCAAAAAATCTTTCTGCCCTGTCCACATTCATGGTCTGCCCCTGTTTCTCTGCTTGCCTGTGCCCTATCTGTCAGTGCTTAACATCTAGTCTTACACTCAGGCCTCTAGAAATGTTTTGATGTGACCTCTCCAGAGATTTTGCTGAGACTCTGGTACCTTCTCTTTGCAGTTAGCTTGCTTTAAGGGCACGGTTCCTGTCCCACACTCTTTCAAAAGCAAGCTTCTGACTATAAAACAAGAAAGAATATGATCCCAGGGACAGAGTACAGAGAGCACTATTAGGTGTGAGGAAGCATGGATTTACTAAGGCACTCTAATCCCTTTATTAGCAAGTTTTGTGGTGGAAATTCAGATGCCAAAATATCTTTCTTGGGAAGACCACCCCCCCGCCGTGGCAAGAGAGCCGGGCTCCTTTGCAGAGCCCCCCTCCTTCAACCAGAGCAGATGCTCGCCAAGCTTTCTGAGACACTCGAGGTCTAAATCCCAATGAGGTTGTGCCTGGCTAAAGGAAAGCCTCCCACGGCACTGGAGTGACTGGGGGAAGATTTAGCACTATCCTGGGGCTCGGGTTGTTTGTGTCCTGCCAGCACAACGCCTCGTCTTCATGGGGAGAGACCATCAGCGGTACAGCCGCACGAGCCTCCTTCCACAAATCCGACTGAGCACACCAGGGACAGGTACAAGGATGGCAGAACAAGCCATCGCCCGGCTGTCGCTGCCAGGTGCCATTAACTGCCCGCGGTGTTCAGGTGCCTTATCAAGGCCACTCACGTAGTGCCATGCTTGGGTTTAGTTACTTGTGTCCAGTCGCTGTGCGAAAGATCGGATCTAACCTACCAGATGTATAACTTCCCTGCCCCGACGCCTGTGGAATTCCCTGCTTTCCTGCTGGAAGACGCTCAGCACGATCCCCGCGGGTCCCGGCAGCGCCGTTGGGCGGGCGGGCAGTGCCGCTCTGCGGTGCCTCCGCACAACTGCAGCTCCGGCGGCAGCAGGATGGATGATCCCGAGCCTGTGAGCTACCGCTCCTGTCGCGTCAGGAACCAACCGGCAGAGTGAGAATAACTGATTTTCCGGATTTCCTTTTACATTTATTCAATTTTATTTTTTTTTCAGCCGGAATACTCTAGACGAATTTTTTAGATGGGTGACCCAGACAACAGTATACTCCTTTACCGATCAAAGTAGGACTTTAAAGATAATAATAACAATAAAATCTGATAATCTAATAAAATCAAAATAGTTGACTAATACTTTTGAGTTACAATTTTCCAGTAACCAAATTAATTGACAAAAATATTTGCAAATATTGGCAAATATTTCAATATCTCTTGGCTTTTATGGATACATAATGTGTCAGCATTCGGGGGCCATGCATGAGGTGTACCCCACTTCTCTGCCTTCATGGATGCCAGTAAATAATATTTTTTTTTCCTGGAAACTGCCTGCCTTTCCACATTTCTGAAAGAATGACACAAGAAATCACAAAGGTTGAAAACAAGAGTAAGTGTTGGAGACATCCAAGTAAAGACATTAGGGAGGCAAGAAAATCAGTTACAACTCAAAAAGAACTGAATATATAGTGTCTGGTTTTGTTAGTCTACATTTAGAAGTGATCTGGTTTTGTATTTTTCCCCCTCAGCTGAGGAAACAGCATTCAGTAAAGAATACAGAAATCTGTATGTAATTTTCACATAAATAATGTTGAAGTGGTTCTGTGGCTAGCAGGAGGCAGGAGAACATTCCAGATCCCTGCTCCAGTTGTGACAAAATACCAAATTTTGGACCAAGGCTGTTGGACTCTGATTTTTCCACACTGATCTCTAGACTATCACTGAAAATTCAATACACAGCCACCAACTGTGTAAAAGCTCTATTTGATGTACAGTGTACTAGCAGCTGACATCTGATGACATGAGCTCTTGAGTGAACATTTCAGCCAGAATTCTTCCTATGCTGACTTATGGTAGGTTGTCATAAAAACTGAAAGTTTTGGAGTGAATTCCTACATTGCTGAAGTCAAAAGCAAACTCCCACTCATTTCTCTGAAAGCATGGTACCAGTATTGATTGCAATAGTTGAAGTTCTCAGCGTGGTTTGGTTTACCTGAGGAGATGCCTGTTGTAACTGTGATAGTTACAACTATGATCCATCGGCACAGGGAACTGTGTCAGTGGAGCAAGGCTCAGGAAGGTTGATGATAGTTGGCTGATGACAGTAGGAAGGCAGCTGTGGAACAGAAGAACCATAGATTGTACAATTTGAGAACAAAATGCAAAATACTTTTTCTTTAAAAATTTACTTTCAAAATTGAGCTTCCTATACAAACATTCTCCTCGCATGTGAGAAAAATACAACTTATCTTTAACTGCATTTGCAGAGCATAGCCTGTAGGACTGTGCTGCCACTACGTGAATGCAGAAAGCCATTGCAGGTGACTGTGGCTGACTTAACTCCTAACTCCTGCTCCAGGGCATGACGTTGGTATGATGTAATGGGACTAGGGTGAGATCGTAGAAAGAAGCATCGGCATCAGCACTGCCTCCTTGGGGAATGGAATTCATTTCAAAAACTGGAGCAAGAAACAAGTTCTATCTCTCAGGGAAGATGGTAAGAGATGCAACTAAAAGGTACATCAGTACATTTTGGAAAGTGTCTATATTGGAAACAATATAGATCCAAACTAGCTTGGCTTGTACAAAAGTCAATCTTTATTCTCATCCGACCTAGTTTCCTAAGCACATGCAGCCTCTGCAAATCTCTGTAAGAACCGTGAGTGTTCTCCACCACTAGTCAGGACGCCAATGCTTATGGAGCTCTGAGGTTACATAGGTATCATCATGAAGGTTGTAACGAACCTGCGAGGAGGAGGCAAGTATATTTAAAAGTCATTGTATGTTTTAAAAGCATTTCTAGGCTCAGCCCTAGAGGAGGCTGCCATTCTTTTTTCTGTTCTAACAACTTCCAGAAATTCTACTCAAAAACCGTTTTCCACTGTGCTAGTCTCTACGCATCTGTAACCCAAAGAATTATTAATCCATTTAGAGAGATTAAAAAATAAAGCAAACATCTCCCGGCCAGCACGTTCCAGAAGTGCAGGTCTCGCACAGCGCGCGTGTTTCTGCCCCA